AGGCCTTGCAGTTTAGGAACTTTACAATGCCCTGTCTTTTACATTTTAACTCAGGCTTTGCAGTTTAGAAGCAGCTTAGAAACTTTACCCTTTCAACCTCTGAGGGGAAGAGACCAGAATGGGGCATGAAGTCAGCCTTGGGAAGGTCCATGGTTAAAATGTGTGATCCAGTCTTAGAAAATGCCTTTTGATTTCTCTGGGAAATTCATTTACATAAATGGCAGAACTGCTTATTTACTTCCTCTCAATCCCTTCTTGAAATGGGACATTAATCCATTCCTTTTTTAGGATTTGGTACCTGGGAACTTATGCTGATGCTGCTCAGAGCTGAACAGACAAGCTCTTTGGGTAACAGTGCAGGTGTTGTGGCCAGAGCTGATCCCTCTGATAATGTGGAAGGAATTGACCTTCCCCCACCCCTACCAGATTGAGAAGGTTTAACTTCCCTTCTCCTCTATGTACATGGATTGGAAGCCTTTTCCAAGTCCATCCAGAAGGGGAAAATATCAATGAAACTAGATGACAACCCTGATAAAGATACGAGCTACTGTGGGTGTAGCAGGCAACAAGGAAAAGCTAATGCAGGTGGTGGTTTTGGGAGGTGGGGAGCTCCTTGGCAGGAGCACAGGTTTGGAGAAGGCTGGTCAGGAAGGTTTGGGTGTGGATGAACCAGGAGAAACAAGATGCCTGGGGTAGAAGAACCATCCAGGAGTCCTCACCTGAGGATTCTTTAAGGCAAAGTTTCTCATTCTCAGCACTATTGATACATGGGGTGGTAAATTCTGTGTATACAACTGTCTGTGCTCTGTAGGATGTTTAGTGGCTTCCCTGGCCTCTGCCTACTGGATGCCAGCCGCATTCCCCTTTGTGAAAAGGCTGAAGTTGAAGCTCTGAAAACCATTCTAAGGGTGTGAGAGTGGAAGAGGCATACGAGGTTGAGTAGCTGTTTCTAAACAGTGGTAGAATAAAATGAATGATCCAAACCCTAGCCCTAGGTGTATCCGAGCCAGCATCACTCCTATCTCCAGCAGGATCCTCAAATCCACTGCAGGATCTGGTCTGTAGCTCTGCACTCTTTCCTGGGAATTACCTTCAAACTGATCACACTTTGGAGAAAACAAGACAGAGAAGAAAGAAATCACAAATGTGGGAAAGTGGGGCGAGTTTTTCCTGCTTTACAAAAGCTAAGGGACACATATGGTGGCTGTATATTTCTTTACGGCGCCTGCATCCCGGCTTTAAGGGAAGTGCCAGGCACCCCCTTGCCTTTGTTTCTTCTCCCATTGGCCCACAGTGGAGCTATCAGGGCCAGATGTTAAAAGCCCTTGCAGGTCCAAGACCCCTTCACCAGTACTCACAGTGCAGGATGGTGGGCCTGGTTACTAGGACCCTGCATTCTGATCCGTAAGACTTTTTCATTAGGAAGAATGGGCCCTGTATGGTTCTTCCTCAAGTCAGTGGGAAGGGGGTCCTTTTAGTTGATATTAAGATTATAAAATAGGTTTGATCTCACCCTTGAGAGACCTTGAAAGTGGTCCAGAGTCCAAACCTGTGCACTTCCTCCTTTATAGTTTTTTCTTTCCCTGAACTATGTTGTCTTCAAATTCATTGCTGTTACTTGTGACAAAGAGAAAAGGTCAGGGCTATACTTGGGTGGGGTTGAATAGTAAATACCCATTGAGTGATTCTATTCATCAAGGTTTGGTTCTGGAGTATCTGAAGGTTCACATTCTAGCAGTGTCCACTTTATGCTTTGAATGTAGCCCTTGCTGCTCTGCCCCTGCAACTTATTGTTTTTTTTTTTTTTTTTTTGGGGGGGGGTGCTGGGGATTGAATCCAGGGCATTGTGCATGTGAGGCAAGCACTCTGCCAACTGAGTTAAATCCCAGTCTTGCAAATTATTTTTAAAAAGCATGTTTCTTTCTCTTCCTCTCCCCCTCCCTAATCACAGGGGGAACAAGATTACCTTTCTTCCCCATCCCTGGCAGAGTTATCTATCCCCGAGTCCACACCCACCATAGAAACCAAGTAATCCAGATGTTGTGAGGGGCAAAATTGTGAAGTATGCAGTCGAAGGGAGAAATAAAGAATGTCCATGAACTTCCGCCTCTTTCAATGCTTTATTCACTCAAATTGCTCAATACAATTTCATTCTATAGGTTCTTAATCAAGAAAATGACAATCCTTAATGTTAGGCACTGCAATAGATATAATCAATTCACAGCAAACAATTCTAGATTAATTCTAAGCACTGAAAAACACACTTAATCATGACAGGCTAATGACAGACATTTCCTCTGCATGCTAAGTTCAAAAGTCTTAAGCCTTAGGCTTTATGTCCAGCAGATGCACACTCACTTCAGACCTCGGTAATCAGGTCCAGAACCAAGGCAGCCTTTTCCTGGCGTGGAGTGGACAACCAGCTGAGGAGAGGGTCATAGGGAGAAGTTATGGCTCTCACCAAGGTCCAATCGAGGCGGTAGAGTTTGAGAGTGGTAGAGGGAGGATCACGCAGAGCTCAGGAAATGATGACAAGTGATGGGATGTCAGGTCCTCATCAGGCTCTCCAGCTCTTGTTCCAACTGGCTGAATTCCTGTTAATTTGCTCTACTATTTATACAAAATTTGGGTTTTTTTTTTGACCCCCCTTTCAATCCTTATCAGCTACAACTGGATTTCTCCATGACATCATTTACCATGGGGTCAGAAACATCTGGTCTGGTGGTCTCCCCTGATCTTCTCACCTTTCCTTTTCTTTGGGCAAGGACAGCCTGCCAGGGGCTTCACTCTGTTTATCAGGAAGTCACTTGTTTTGAGGCCACACTGGAGGGCTCTGTGGGTGTGCCTGGTGAGACTGCAGGTTTCATAGTGGAGTTTTTAAAATGGAGTTGCTTAGGCTCAGGCCTAAGGGCATCCTCACACCAGACTTTGGGGATGGTACCAGAAGATCTCAGAAATGACTATTTTCCAAATTAATGAGTGAATTACAACTCCAACAGAGAACACTTGGAATGCAGCCTTTCAATCACCTCCTTAAAAGCCTGGGGTTGCCTACCATGTGTGAGGCACTAGGTTCTATTCTCAGCACTGCAGATAAATAAATGAATAAAATAAAGGCCCATCAACATCTTAAAAAACAAAACAAAATTCCCTGTTCCTGCTGATAGGCACAATCACGGACTTTGGGACAGGAGTTCCTTGTTTCTCCTTTGCTAGCAATGCAATAAACCTGATTTTTCCTTTCTCTCAAAATCATGTCCTTGTTATTGGATTGACATCCTGGACAAAGACTGGGCTTTCAGCAAGAGGCAAGAACAGGAACATGATTTGCAAACTATTCCAAGGATTAGCAGTCTTCAGCCTCAAAACCCACCTGTGGTATTTCAGAAGGCAGGGTAATCACTGGGCATCACTGGCAGTCTTAACACAAAGAATTAAACATGGGGCAGGATTAGAGAAATGAACACAAGATGGAAACAAAGAGGTGCAGAGGGGTGGTACTTCATAGAATACCTTTCACTCCCAAGCACCACGCCCAGGTGATTTGCATTTTAAAATACTCTCTGCCAGGAAGGGGTTTTTAATCTTTTGGGTGTGGACTAGGACACAGAGGTACAGGTGATTGGGAGCATAGAGGAGCAGCCAACCAATCAGGAGTGGGGCTCAGGATTGCAAAGCAACAAGAACATTTGAAGAGTTACAAGGACACCATGTATGCAAAATCACAGAGCTAAGAGTGTCTGTGATGGGGCTAAAATTCGGTACAGCTGAAGGTGGAATGTGGGGTTGAGGCATGCGATGTATTTGTTACTCGGTAATGTTTTATTAGAGACCATCTATGTCAGGTGCTGTTTTAAGAATGATGGATTCTGTAGGAAAAAAACCCAAAAGTCCTCAGAAATATTTCCAACAGAGAATACACCATAATCAAAAAACTAAGTAAACAAGTGACTAAAGAAAGATCTGTGATGAAACAAACCATGAAGTGATAAAGGATGGGTGGGATAACAGTTTAGATAGGATGGTCAGAGTTCTCTGGATTCAGATAAGATGCAGCTGGCAGAGCAGCTATGGGGTTCAAAGATCCTCAGGTGTGCTCCGGCTTGCATGGGTGTGTGTAAAGCCCATTAGCCAACACTTGCTCCGTGTGTGAAGCAGAGATTAGCCAACACTTGCTCCATGACCTTCTTTTAGTGGATGCTAAGAAGCCTGAATAAGGAGAGACTGCCTAAGGAGATACAGAAAAGGTCACAGATTTACTCAGGGTGGTCTTCAACTTTGTAGACCAATATGTACCAGAGTCCGGGTTGTCTGTCCTGCATCTTAGCCAGAACTTTGCACATATTTCTCAATTTGATCTAAAACAAGGATTCAAATATGACCTCAAACGTCTCCTTCTACAAGCTGAGAGGAGCTAGGGGGCAGTCGCGGGGGCGGGGGGGGCAGCAATTAGACAAACGGAAACCACTTCGGTGATGCAGGGTGGTAACAGCGGCCCTCAGTGGAGTTTGCTTGCAGAAGACAAAGGCCGGGGCGAGTCTAAGGGGGTGACAGCAAACGGGGGGACGAGCCACGGGCCGAACACAGACCACCTCCACGGGGGACTTGCGCGGCGGGGGCGGAAAAGCTGGGCTCGAGGCGCCGCTGCACATGGCAGAGACGGACGGCCGGGAAGAAACGAGAAGGTGGCGGAGGCCACGGGTGTCCGCAGGCGCTGCAGTGCGCGCCCCACTCGGGTCCCGGAGAGCCGCGGGGACTCCTCCGCCGGTGGCCGGCGAACACCGCCCCCGGGCAGGGGGGCACCGCCGGGTAGTCCGCGGACTCCACCCCACCGGAAGTCGTCGCGGGGTATTGTGGGCCGCGGTTCCGGCGCCGCGCCAACCCGGCCGCCGATGCCGCCGAGCCACAGTTCCCAGCAAGCCCCGCGCTGCACCGCGCGGGCTTTGCGCTCCGGCGACCGGACTTCCGGGGGAGCGGGGGCGGGCCCGCGGCAGAGGCTGCAGCGCAGCGTCGGGATGCAGCGCCCCGGGCCCTTCAGCACCCTCTACGGGCGGGTCCTGGCCCCGCTGCCCGGGCGGGCCGGGGGCGCGGCCTCCGGCGGGGGCGGGAGCAGCTGGGCCCTCCCGGGCTCGCACGTGCAGCCGCCGGGGCGCGCGCTGCCCGGAGCCCGAGGCGCCAACGGCCGGGACTCGGACGGCGTCTGCCCCGCCGCCTCCACCATGTCCAAGACTGAGGAGGCCAAGAGGCTGGCGGGCCGCGCGGCGGTGGAGGACCACGTGAGGGTGAGCGGCGCGGAGGGGCGCCTCCGCGGCGGGGCTGGTGGCGCGAGTGAGTGCGGACTCCTCCCGGCGACGGGGCCCGGCGACGCGCGCTGGCGAGTGCCTGATCGGCCCGCTTTCCGCGGAGCCCCGTGCACGGTGGTGCCTTGTGGTGTCAGATATCGAGGTGGAGGTTGCAGACACCTGCTTATCAACAGCTGGGGCGAAGGGAGGGCTACCCTTTCACCGTCTCGGGAGGCCGGTGGGCAGCTGGTGTGCAAATCCTCGCTTGGTGCGCGCTCGCCCGCCCCGCCTGCGCTCGCGGGAGGAAGAAGAGGCCGGGCCGAGCTAGCCGGGCCCTGGCTTCCTCCCTTCCGCTGGCCAGGGGACGCTCGGGTCTGGGGGTGCTGCTGTTTAAGGCGGGGCTGCGGGATGTTGAGCAGTTAGTCACTCAGCGAGGTCGTGGCCCCTGTTGTTCGGTGGCAGGTGTGCTGCTGTCAGTGCAGTCTTTCAATTCAAGTAGGTTTGCTGTCATCAGTGAGCAAATTATACCTAAATTATAGCACTTTCCTGGCCTTGTTAGCTTTTTGTCTCTTTCCCACCCTTCGGTATCAGAGTCCCTTTCTCCTCAGATGGGAGTTCTTTATACTTATGAATTCTTTTCTATAAAGAGGACCAAGTCCTTTGAGCTTCACTACAGCTTGGTTAAATGGGAGAGGCATTATGGCAACTTGTGGCTTGGCCTGTTCTGTGCAAGAAATGGCTAAACCACGCCACTCCTGTCAGCTGGTTCCAAGCTGCCCTGTCTTGATGTAACTTATTGCCAAGTCTGGTTAGGAATAGCATTTCTATAGGAAATGAGAGAACGTAAAATATGTAATTTGGTCCAACCTTTACAGCCAGAGAGGTCACAGTGCCACAGCTGTAAAATTGGGACAGTAAGCTGAAATTTCAAAATACCCACATAAAGTGAATTGTTGATGGGGAAATGAAATCCACGCAGCTAGACAATCCTATTATCTGTTAATGTATTTACATTAATATTTGGTTACAGGTTTCTCCCTGACCTTTGTTTTATGGTTACATTATTTGGCTAATAAAAATCTGCAAGCCCTCATTATCAGATTAGAGCCTCAAAACCATGGATTCCAACCACATCATTTAATGAAGTTACTAGGCAGTCCTGGGAAGCTCTCCCTGGGTGTTTTGGAAGCACCTGTTAAAATTATGTTGTAGACTTCAGTTAGTTCAAAGGCCATTTCTTATTTCAGTTTTTTTTTTTTTTCCTTAGCTTCCTAAGGAGAGGAAGCATTCTCTGCTGTGCACTTTTTAATCTCATAGGTGCTTTAAGTTGGTGGTGGTTTAACTACTAGTCTTCTCTGTGATTGTCCCTCCCAATCCCCTAAAAGGGAAGCTCCTGGAGAAGAGTTAGCTTATCTGTATTCAGCGTTGGCCACCATGAGGCCTGCTAGTAAATGTTAGTTGAATTGGGTTGAATGAGCACACAGATATGGAGGTTGTGGGGTTATTGGTGGTCTTTAGTTTCCTTATTTCGTTAGCATTCCATTGTGGTAATCGTTTTCACTTCTGGGTTTTTAGATAATTAATTCTTAGTTGAAGCCTGATCCTGGGTGGAGTAACCCAGGACAGGACTGTACTCTCCTGAAGGTCTATAGTATCATCCCCTTGATCTCTGCAGCCTGAGCTTTGCTTTTTGATTAGGCTAGCTTGAAGAAGCTAAAGGGCAGTGGTTTCCATTGGTCAGCAAAAGCAGCATTTATGGGCTCACCCTGTTGGATGAGGTGCATGGAGTTCTGATGTTGTTCATGTGACTTGTGGTGTAGTGTTTACCTTTAGAAGGACCTTCTCCTGTTGGGCTGCGTCTGGTTGGCCTTGGCATTGGTTCTCGGGCCAGTCATTTGAGTCCAAGATAGTAGGAACACATGGTTTAAGAACTTTTGAGTTTGGCAACCCCCTGCAATTCCTGTCCTCTTCCTGATGCCTTGTACATAGCTTTCTGATAGACCCAGGTTTCTCCTTGTGCCATCTAGAGTTCTTGCCTACAGGTTAAGCATGAAGTTCAGATTAGGCCTGTCAAATGCTGGGAAGTGAAGACATTTTTTTCGTTACTTGAGGATTTCTACATGTTGGTATTTAGCCATTTTGAATGTTTCTGTGTTGTGACATCTTGTAGCGATGCTGTGATATTCATTTACTCGTCTTGAGTCCTTGCTTTTGGGTTTTGCCCAAGCACTGAATGGTTTATTGGCTGCTGAATTGGTTTATTGTTTTTTGGGGTACTTGGGATTGAACTCAGGGACACTTGACCACTGAGCCATGTCCCCAGCCCTATTTTGTACTTTATTTAGAGACAGGGTCTCACAGAGTTGCTTAGTGCCTTGCTTTTGCTGAGGCTGATTTTGAACTCACAGTCCCCTGCCTCAGCCTCCCGAGCCTCTGGGATTACAGGCGTGCGCCACTGTGCCCAGCAGCTGCGTTGTCTTCTTGAGGTACCATCACAGGTGGGCTCCGCAAGGTGATTCTGATGACCCAAGCCCCTTAGTGCATTTGGTGATGTAAAGGTAACTTCTACCACAACCCACAAGTTGTGGGATGAATTCTGCTCTGGGTAGGACAGGACCAGCTAGAAGCATTTTTAGTGTACAAGTGTGTGGTTGTCATAATATTTGATTTGTGAGGGTTATCTACCCCCCCCCCCCATTCTCTTTACCTGTTGGTCATTCTTTGTAATCTTTTTTAGTTTTCAGATGTGGTCTTATTTTGAGAAGGACCAACCATATCAAGTGTGGGGCCCAGGGACTTAGTCTTGGATATTCCTGTGGCTTTTGTCTTGTTGGGAGTGAGAGGTTCTAGCTGTGGCCCTCAGTTTGTCTTGAGAGGCTTCTAGGATTTTTCTTCTTCCTGCAAAGGTTTCACAATCGGCTTTCCCTTGCCCAATGTGTTGTTAGTCATTTGTTGGAACTCAAAGAAATTTGAAATGCAATATTGTTTTGGCACATTGAACTTCCTGAAGTTGCTTATTTAAAGTGAGGGTGTGTGTGTGTGGGGGGTGTTGATACTATTAAAAGATGATTTTTTAAGATTATCATACAAATGAATGTGTGTTAAGATTTTGTTTAAATTATTAAATTGATGAGGGAACTGGAAGAGGTGTTAGAACCTGTTTGCCTGTGTGTTAGTCCATTTTGCTGCAATAACAATACCTGAGAGTGGGTTAGTTGTAATAAACAGAATTATTAAGTCGTAGTTTTGGAGACTGGAAAATTCAGCATCCAGGTGCTGACATGTGGCAGGAGAGAGAGGGAAAGGTCTGGGGTGTTAGTGGGCACCAGTCCCACTGTGAGAGTGGAGCCCTTGTGGCCTAACTCTCAAAAGTCCCACCTCTTACTGCAGGCAGTCCCTGACTTGCAGTGGTTTGACACAGGATTTTTTGATGGTGCAAAAGGGATATGCATTCAGTAGAAGGCATTTTTTGAATTTTGAATTTTGATGTTTTCCCTGGCTAGTGAGTGATGTATAGCATGGTACTCATCTAAGATGATCGGCAGCGGCAGTGAGCATTGGTTTCCAATCAGGCCTGTGATCATGAGGGGAAACAGCCAGCACTCCACACTGTGCTGTGTTGCTAGGCTGGCATGTTTGGTAGGTTAGGAGTGGTAAATCTGACTTAGGATATTTTCAACTTATGTTTAGTTTATTGGGACATAACCCCATCATAAAATAAGGAGCATCTGCACTGTTAAAATGGCACTTGAATTTCAACAAGAATTTTAGAGGGTATGATCATTCATACCATAGCAACAGGAGAAATCCCAGAACCTTAAATTCATATGCAGTCAAGAAATGTTAACATGAGTTTATAAGAATTGATTGAATTATAGCTATAGGATGATAATAGGTTGCATCTCACAGAACACATTTAATTTGCATTTCTAAGGGTAAGGATTGTTTGCGTTCCTTAACAGGTTTGTCTGTACAAAGCTGTCACATGGTACACACCTAGTCAGGTTCCAGCATTCCATTGAAAGGCTATTTAGTTAACTGTTGCTCACTTCAGAGTCTTAATTTTTTTCCTTACAGTGTTGAATTAATCTCTGAAGTGGGATGAGAGGTCTCTGGGTTATTGGGATGGCTGAGATTTGAACCTTTGTTAACATTTATGTCTTGGTAGGTACCTCCTAAGTGGTTTTGGTTGTTTTGCTGTAGCCTGGCAGGAGGTTGATCCCAGGAAGTTGCTTAAGAACTGACCTGTATTGAGTTCGTGGCTGCTCCTAGTCCCTGGCCTTGTCTTGTTCTTTGTGGTCTGACTGGTCTGCTGATAGGCACCTTTGCCCTTTCTGAAGGTGGAGACTCAGTATCATGAGGCCTGTTTCCTGTTGTTTGTGCTCTTTGTCTGTTACACATACTTCCTGTTGCGGCTGGAGACAGTTTCTCATGTTCTTTCTGAGCTTTCACTCTTCCCATTTTTTCTGAGGCAGACTCATGCAAAACGGGGGCCCCTTAATTTACTGTCCTGCTGACTTTGTGAGAATGCTGGATGGCGGGCCTGATGTGTCTTTGCGGTTTCCTGCTGCCAACTTGAAAATGCCTGTGGTCAGTCCCGTGCCTTCCAGATGTGAAGCTTGTGGGAAGAGCCACAAAATCTTGCTCTCTAAGACCCTCTCTCCCTACCCAACCCCCAGACCTTTTCTTTCTGATTAGCTCCCTGAGGTTGGCCAAGAATCTTGCTGTGTTTATCTGTAGGTCATTTCTGTGAGGCCAATTTCAGTTGCTCTAAAGTTGCTTGTGGTGTAAGTGATGAGCCATTTGTTTTGTCTAGAAAAATGCAGGGAAGGCGTATTGATGTGGCTGGGGTCAGCAATGAAAGGAGGCTTCTGCTGATAGTTATCCCTGGGTGCTAGGCTAAAGTACAGCTTTGTGTTGCAGTGGTCCGTGTCTGTAGAAGAGGCGTGGCACCTGCCTTGCATCTGTGTTGATAATGATTTTGTACCTTTAGAAAGTGGGTTGAAGAAGGAGTAAAGTACACTATTAATGTATTTTGTTTTCTCTCCCTGTTCTTGGCAGAATAATCAAGTGCTGGGAATTGGAAGTGGCTCTACAATTGTCCATGCTGTGCAGCGAATAGGTATGTTCTCAGACTGCCTGCTGATGCCTTGTGTGTGGTGATGGGAGAGAGGGAGGTGGAGGAGGGAAGGGAGCTGAGCAGGTTAGACAGGTTGGGCTCTTGCCCATCTTGGCTCCAGCAGTGCAGATCTGGGGAGAGGGCACTGCTTGCCTGAGGTCAGCTGAGTGTTTCTGTCCCACTCTGGAGAGAGGGATTGTTGGACCTCGTTAGGCAGCTCTGGGGTCCCTTTGCCTTGCAGAGCTCAGCTGGAGGGGAGGAGTTGACTAGGTGAGGCCCCCAGCAGGTTCATCACTTGATGATGCATGCCTGTCAGCCCATCAGGGTCCTTTGTGTGTTGTCAGGCCTCCTCTGAAGCCTGTGAGTTCCTCAGGCAAACGTGTGGTGGTCATGCTTTTGGTCAATACCTTTGCCCTGTCCATGACCCAGGAGTGAACATGAGGCTCCTATAGATGGTGGCGAATTGCTGTAAGTGCTGACTTCACTCTGATTGGGTTATGTCCTTACTTAGGAGAGCCTCAGGAATGATAAGCCTCTGTGACTGCTCAACAGGTTCTTCAGCCCTGCTCTCTGTTTTAGAACAAAGTCCGGGAGGTACCTGAATGCTGATCTCCTCGGTGCCAAGGGGCAGGGCCAAGAAAGCAAAATCTAGTTCATTTTGTCAGTAAGAAGTGGCTGTAAGGGGGTTGGGGTTGGGGCTGGGGCTCAGTGGAGGAGTGCTTGCCTAGCATGTGTGAGGCACTGGGTTTGATTCTCAGAACCACATGTAAATAAAGGTCCATCAACAACTAAAAATATTAAAAAAGGGGGGGGGTGTTGTAATATTGATGTGATGTCTTCGTAGGGCCTTCTTACTGGTCAAGCAGGATGTGTAGTGCTGTGTGCCTTTCTATCTTAGCCAAACCTGTGAGAATTTTAGGGCACAGAAAATATGGACTTGATTAAAAATACTTGAAATTTTAAGAAGACTTTTTTTCCTTAAGACTTTTATTAAAAAAAAAAAAAAAAACTCCCCTGAAAAATTAAAATGAATAAAATAAATGGGGCCTGCAGATGATTGGATTTTTTATTAAATGCAAAGGGAAGTTCTGACTTTTTCCTGATGAGTGGTGAACTATCAAGTTACTTTGCCTCAGCATGCCTCATTTTCCTCATCTGTAAAGTAGTGGTAACAACCATAACGTACCTTCTGGGCTCTAGGGATCATAGAGCTTGTTCTGCAAAGTCCCTAGTGCATTGCTAGGCTCATAAGAACAGCAGGTGTCTGTCACTCCCTCTGTGCTAGCACTCACCTCCCCGGCCCTGGGGTCCCTGTCTGTTGATGCATGAAGCGAGGTCCACCAGCATTCTAACCAAGGACAGGGTCACAGAATAGAAGGCAGTTCTCGGTGGCAGACAGGTCTTTCCTTTTCTGTGGGATTTGAGCAAATGCACATGTAACCAGAAAAATAAAGTGAGGAGAGTGGGAAACCCCAATATGGCTTTTGTCTCCACAGCTGAGCGAGTGAAGCAGGAGAGTCTGAGCCTCATCTGTATTCCTACTTCATTCCAGGTATGTCCTGCTTTCCACTCGCATCTGGGCAGCCGCTGCTCAGTCTTTGACTCCCTAAGACGTGGACCTGTGGCTCTGTCACCCGTCAGGCTGGTTCTGCTTCAGGAGAGGAGTTGATTGACCCAGGGTTGCTCTTTGCCCTGTGGTTTTAGATGATTCATTTGCCCCAACGGTATTTCAGGTGGCTTGAGTCAGGTGCCATGAGGTATGCGGAGATGAACGTGTGGTCTCTGTTTTCAGGGAATCTTATGCCCATTTGTAGATGAGGAAAACCAAGTCCTAAAGGAATTAAGCATTAATAATGCAAGTACAGTATTTTGGTTTCATGTCTAAGGTGCTTTCATCACGAAATAGAGGGAGCTGGAGGAGGAAGCAGAGCAGCAGGTTAAAGACAGGGAAAGATGAGAGGGAGCAGACTTAGGACAGTGGGTGGGGGACAGGGCCTCTCACAGCTGCTTGCTCAGTTCCACCGAGAGGTCTGTGGTAAGTGATTCCGTAGGAATTTTGAAGCATTTCTTTTAGTTTTTAATTTGATACTGAGAAGCTCCCTACCATTCGGATGCCTGAGCCTTCATTTGAAATGTATTTGTAGTTCCCTCAGAACCGTGTGCCTTCTGTGGATCTTGTCCTTCCCCTAGAGCTCTGAGCCATGATGTGCCTGCTGTGGGCCTCGTCCTGCCGGGCACTTGCTGAAGCACTTGGTTCCGCAGACTCACACTTCAAGTGCTGGAGACTGTTCCTGTTCTTAGATTTGCCTTTCCTGTTGTTCTGGCCTTTCTGCCTGGGACCCTTCCTGGGGCTTGGTGATTGTGGACTGGCTTATATTGTCCTACTGAGCTCGACTTTTAGACTTGTCTTTCCCAAACTCTCTTACGAGTCTTTCAAGAAGTTCTCAAGTTTAATTTCTGAGGACTCTTGTTTTCTTCAAGTTGTCTTTTTTCCCCCAGTTTCTCTGAAGATGTTAATTATATATATATATCTTAAAATAATTCTTCTTATAAGGAGTATTTTCCTTAGTTATTTTCCCCAGTTTGTGGGAGGTAAAAGTTACGTACAGTAAAATTCGCCCTTTATATTATATAGTTGAATTTGACAAACACATAATCTTTTTTAAAATTTTTAAAATTTGTTTTAATTATACATGACAGTAGAATGCATTTATGCACTTTGATATATCATACATAGATGGGATATAATTCCTCATTTTTCTGAGTGTACATGTTGCAGAATCACATTGGTCACATGTATACATACAGTAATAATGTCTGTTTCCTTCTTCTCTCTTTTCTATCCCCATATACCCTCCCTTCCCCTTCCCTCCCATCACTTCCCTCTACCTAATCTAAGGTACGCTATTCTTCTCTAGTGCCCTTGCCTTATTGTGAATTAGCATCCACATATTAGAGAAAACATTTGGTCTTTGGTTTGTGGGATTGGCTTATTTTGCTTAGCATGATATTCTCCAACTCCAACCATTTACTGGCAAATGTCATAATTCCACTCTTCTTTAAAGCTGAGTAATATTCCACATTTTCTTTATTCATTTATTGAAGGACACTTAGTTTGGTTCTATAGTTTAATTATTGTGAATTGAGCTGCTATAAACATTGATGTGGCTACGTTACTGTAGTATGCTTATTTTTAATCCTTTGTGTATAAACCAAGGAGTGGGATAGCTGGGTCAAATGGTGGTTCCATTCCCAATTTTCTGAGGAATCTCTATACCACTTTCCATAGTGGTTGCACCAGATTTCAGTCCCTCCAGCAATGTATGAATGTACCTTTCCCCCCACATCCTCGCCAACATTTATTGTTGATTGTATTCTTGATAATTGCCATTCTGACAGGAGTGCGGTGAAATCTTAGAGTAGTTTTGACTTGCATTTCTCTAATTGCTAGAGATGTTGAACACTTTTTTGTATATTTGTTGATTAGTTGTATTTCTTCTATGAAGTGATGGTTCAGTTCCTTAGCCCATATATTGATTGGGTTATTATTTTTTTTTTTTGCTGTTAAGTTTTTGAGTTCTTTATATATCCTAGAGATTAATGCTTTAAATATTATGTGCCTGAAACATAATCTTTTAATAATGAACACAATCAAAATATTATTATTATTTTGGTCTTTTAAAATTATGTTGGTGTTTCTTAGTTTTCTGCTCATCTTAAAGACAGATGGGCTTGGAAGCTGATTAGGCAGCATGGGATGAGGGTGGCTTTCTTCTTGTCCATCTTTCCTCTTGCTGGTTGATTTCCTTGTGAAGGCAGCTCAGTGCCATTTGGGGAGGGACAGGGTTGTCTTGCTGTGTCCTGGCAGCCAGGTAGGCAGGGTGGACTAGTAGACACCTGGCAAGATTCTGGATGTGACCATGTTTTTGATTTTCTGGTTTTTGGTATGGTACCTGTGATAGATGGGAGAAAGTGTAACATTGTGCAGTATCTACTTGAACCTGGTGTGATCATGTGGCTTGTTTGCTAATGGGACGTGGTTCATGAGAGGCAGCAAGGATCTGAAAGTCTTTTGCACTGGGGCTTGGCCCCTCTTGCTGTTGGAACCATTGTGCTACCATGTGAAGTAGCCAAGCCTAGATTCCTGGGGGATGAGAGGTCCTATGTGACCAGTGGATGGGGCTGGCTCACATGAGCCAGCCCAGTCAGTCCACAGAATCATGATAAACTGGGTTTGGGGGCAGCTGCTCTGCAGTAGGCTCGCTGATGAAGTGCTCCTGTCCGGGTTGTGCCTGGTCCTAAGACCAGCTGTTTTCCTTCTTTGGCACGCTGCTTTGGGAGTGGGAAAAGAGGTTATAGAGGTACAGGCCCTTAAATAGCTTTTTAGATGACCTTCCCTTTTCACCCAACCATTGAATCCACTTTCTTGTTCCTGGTGACTCTGCTTCTGAGTCTGTGGAAATCCTCCTCTAGTGTTGAGTTTCTTGCCTTAGAGCTGTCTCCAGTACTGACCTAGTATTTTTTCTGATGTCTAACATTGGCCGTTGTCTGTCAGTGGCTGCGTTACGGTCCCTGAGGAGCAGGACTGTAGACAGTGTACAATTACAAGAGAGATTTGTTAGATGGTTTGCACAGGTGTAGGCAGTACTTTAACCACGGCCGTCTGCAGGCTGGAGAACCAGGGAGTGCAGTGGCTGGTCAGTCTAGTCAGTTGGAACCTCAGAGCAAGTGAAGCCACGGTGCAGGCTAGTCCTAGGACGAGGGCCCGAGGTCTCTTGGGGAGCCATGGGTGCAAGTCCACATTCCCAGAGTCTGTCTTCAGGTGACAATAGTGGCCTGAAAACACATGTCAAGAGGGTAGATAGTGTGTGTGTACCGAGCTTCCCCTCCACCACTTCTGGCCCCCAGCTGCAGGATGGCTCCAGGCAGCTCTTCCCCACTCAGTTTTCAGACCTAAACGCCAACCATCTCTGCAAACACCCTCACAGACACACCCCATGTGTGTTTTATCAGTTTTCTTGTCCTCAAAGAAGTCAGGTTGACAGTCAGAATTAACCATCATAGTGACCCAACTTTTGAAAGGTGTTTTTTTTCTCTCTTCTGTGAGATTTATTCCTTAAAGAAAAAATTCTTTATTATAGTTATAAAGAAATTATGGAAAGATGTTGGCAGGGTTTCCTTCTGAGGCCGTGAAGGTTGAGGGTTCTGTGCCTTCTCTCAGCTTTTTGGGAGGTTGTTGGCTGCCTTTTGTATTCCTTGGCTTGTGGGTCTCTCACCGTGATCCCTGCCTTCATGCTCCTGGGCTGTTCTCCCTGCATGTCGGTTTCTGTCAGAATCTCTCCTTTCTCCAAGGACGAGGGCTCACTCTCCTAACCTTGTTTTAATTTGATAACCTCTGTAAAGACCCTTCCCTGCAAAATGTCACATTCTGAGGTCCTGGGGTTGGGACCCAACCATGTGTGTTGGAGGAAACAGTTCAGCTGTTAACATTCAGGAAGGGTGAGGCTTGTGCCATGTATTGTCACGGCAACTCGCTCATGTGGGGAATCAGGTCAAAGGTGGGGAGAAGGGAGTTGGGGGACCTGCCAATGGGAGAGGACTGAAGTGTCCTGGCTCTGTGAGATCTTGAAGTCCGTGTACAAGGGCCAGGTTTCAGTTGTTATATAAAAATTATGGGAGGCCCTGGTGAACTCTTCACAGTGCCCCAGTAGATCAGGCTGAGAATCAGAATGAAGTTTCTAACGCTAATATTCCATATCACCAAACTGAAACGGAGTTAGCCGAGCTTCTCTCAAAAAGTTGGGAGAACAGTAACAGCCAGGTCTACAGCAGATGTGGTGATAAGGCGTGCTGATGAAGTTTGTTCTGTTTTAGACAAGCCAGTATCTTGAAGCCCAGCAGCTGCTCCTCTGCTGCTGTTTTCTTTTGTGCTAACTCACAAGGAAAGGAACCTTGAAATGACCAATTTAATCTGCCTGAGTTCTTTGTTTCTGCTTTCTTTAGTCTTGATTCATCAACAAAAACCAACCTCCTCACTCAGCTCATTGAAACACTCATTTTATTTGGTGGAATGAAGTGTTGCCTGATTTCTAGAATTACAAATGAAGCTAATTAAGACTTTTAAATTTGTTGCTTTTTTTTCTTACTGTTCCAGTTTTTATGATTGGCACATGGTATTTGTGTATATACTTTGGTACAATATGATGTATGTGTTAATGATCCGGTTTAAGATACAAGATATGTGAGACACGAGAGTGAGTGTGTGTGTGTGTGAGTGGGGGGTGCCACCCCCATTGCTACTCTGCCTGGCTGTGTTGTTCATAATACTAATCTCAGAAGCATCACCCCATTTGCCCTTGCTCACATAGACCCTGTGGGACAGGAGAGGAGACTGACCGAAGGCTCTAATACTAGGTTGTGAACTGGCATTGGGATGGCTCCTGCACTGCTTTGGGACACCTGGAGAAACTGAGAGACAATCCAGTAGTAACCGTCATTTTTGTCATTTTCCCCTGTAATTATATATTTAACAAAACAAAAGACTGGTTTTAT